ATTTGCAAATCTCTGAGTATGCTGTTGACTCGTGCATAATATAGCCGCGGGAGCCGGGTGCTGGAGGAGGGGCTATGCTCGTGCACATGACGAGTATGGATCTCTGGATCTGCTATGCTATTACGGTTAGGAGCCGTCGGCTCCTCTGAGTCCCCACGAGTCTGCAGGAAGTTTCACTGATCCGCGTCCCCTCCCCTGAGCCAAACGATAACTTCTGGCAGCTATCCTACTTGCTAAAGGGTAGGCAGATGGACTGGGGTAATTTTACATGTTATAAAGAGAGTAGCGAGTGACGCAATTTATAGTTTTAATTTGTACGTCACCAGGTGTAGGACTCAAAGGACTCGGGTTAATGGAGAGGGAGACTCGTCACGACCAGCTCATTTCTAGGATCCGGGTTAATGATCCGGATTAATCAGGACTCGCCCATCTCTAGAGTTACTGTGAAGACAGGAACTGATTGGTGGTCCTGCTGTAAATTCACAGAGGGCCCAACGAGAGAGTAATGTCAAATGACAGTACAATTGACCAATCATATCTTCCCTCTAAATGGGTGGGCTTTATTTTCGCGGACTTTATGACAAGTTCCGCCTGCTGTGAAGTTGATGCATGTGTTTAAAGTGGTGCAGTGACGCGTCCTAAAACCCAGAAGTAAGCTGCGCATGGGTTCCCTCGACAAAAAAGCAATGGGATTTCTCCATAGGATTTTGGAAAATAGCTAGAAATAAGGTCTGTGGAAAACTAACCTGTTAGATAAATGCACGTTTTGTTCAGCCGGATAATATCCACATGTCTACCCTACTTTTATAATTTTCGACAGGGGGGGGGGGGGGGGGTCAGAGGGCCTAGGTATAAAAGTCACAGCTCGCCACTGATCTACATACATCTTATAAGAGTATAATTCATATCTATAATATCAGTTAAAATAAGTGCTTCAACATAGTTAACATCGCAGGAAAGCAATATATTAGACGTTAAGTACTTTGTCAGGCTTAATATTTATCTGTAGATACCCCCAAAGCTTTTTTGTTATTTAAAAGACGACCTTAACCTAAAGTATTCTTTAATGTTTAAATAAAGGTTAATTAGTTTTTCTGTTTTGCACATCCTCCAATTAATATCTTTGTACATCCGGCACTAAACTGTTTTATTGTAGAGATCACTTACAGTATCTTCTTGACTTTTTATATTCTATATTTTTATCATTGACCTTCTACTTTCCCCCTATTTTGTATGTACCGTAATTTTCGGACTATAAGCCGCGACTTTTTTCCCATTTTTCGACCCTGCGGCTTATATAACGGTGCGGCTAATCTATGGATTTTTACAGCTCCGACGACTTGCTCTGAAAACACGGAGGAGCAAAACAACAAACGAGTGAAACAAAGCGTATATTAAAGCCCGGGAAATATACCCGTTTTGACGCTGTTTCAGGAGAGCCTCTAACATTGTTTTGAAGGCCTGTTGCTAGCGGGGGATGCTAGCGGGGGATCCTCGGGCTAGCCCTGTAGACACCGGGCCGAGAGAGCGCAAGGGACCGGGACAGGAGCTCCGCGGGATAACGACCAGGTTTGACTGACCCTGCCAGTCCTATCTTATAACACAAAGAAGACGTAACCTCTCCTAAGTTTGAAAGTTGAAAAGTTTGTGTGTCTGAAACGCTATGTGATACAGTACAGTTTACACAGCACAGTACATGTTCTGTAGCTACTATTGCACTAAATGGTAACACTTGAATACGTTATGCAAATATGCAACTTGTTTGTTGAAATGTTAATAAATGGGAGCTTCCTCAAACAGCCATCTCTTTCCCGACAATCCCCTCTGTGCACGAACCCTTAGATATGGTAATTAAACATTAAAACACCTGCGGCTTATAGTCCAGTGCGGCTTATATATGTACACATCATTCAATTTAGCTGCTGCTGCTTATATTCAGGTGCGCTTTATAGTGCGAAAATTACGGTACTCTTAATATTTTTTTCATCAAATATAACATATTCAACAAAAAAATGCAATAACGTGCTTTAACCACTAGGTGGTTTTATTTATGATCTATGTCACTTATTCAGTTTCGGTGGCAGTTCTTCCAGTTTTTCCAGAAAAGTCTTTTAATCAGGGCTCTATAAATAAAGAACTACGGCAGATATGTAATATTGAATGCAGCCGAACCGTGTATTACAATGCCGTTATGTGATGACTTTCAAAGAGAAAAGCAAGCACACTCGGATTAAAGTATTATTTTCTTTTCTTTAAATGTTTTCGGATTTCATATCGCATAAACACCATATCCCAACGTGCATTGCGGCTAAAACATCCAATCACCGAGCTTCAACCATAGCTGAGGATATTGGGTAATCAGTTCAGTGGGTGTGTATCGCAATAATGACACTCAAAATGTCCCATATATACTGTAGGCCTACGTCTGTAACCGGTGACATTATTTTGAAATTCAGTTCCTGACGGACGGCAAAAAAGCCAGAGATTATAGAATTAAACAAATAAATAAAAACAAGGATATTTGAGTGTTATTGTTGAGTAAATAACAGTGTGTTATTTAGAAAAGAATAACAAATTAGAAGGAAAAAAAGATTTAAAAAATACATATTTCAGTATTCTGAGCCCCATTTATTTTCCTCACGGACGGCAAAAAAAGTTCAACATTATAGAATTTAAAATAAAAACAATAATCGTGGCTTGATATTGAGTAAGAAAATGTTTTTATGAACCACACAGCTTCCGGTCTTCCAAGACCCGACCGGACAGAAAGACGTGGTGCAGGCACAAATTATACTACCAATAGAAATACATTGCTTTTTCGTTCTGTGTGACACGAAAAAAAAAAGGAGAAAATCGTGTTGGTGAACAAGAATCAATAGATTTTAATGTCGTGACTATAACACGAAATGCTGTGAGACTGGGTTGGATGCGTCGCTGCAACGAGGTTCAGACGAGCTGCACCTGGATAAGGAACGTCTGAAAACTCCAGTGCAGCAGCAGAAGAGGGAGGCCTCTGGTGTGGGGACTGCTGTATTTTGACCTCTTAGCCTAGGATTGATATTTGTATATTTCACATGTTGATTATAATGAATCTTATATGGATTTGATTGTTTTAAAGGTGTCTTCTGTGTTGTATTTGGGTCAGAGTTGGGATTTTGTTAGTCTAATGGGGCCACCTTAAGGTGGGGCATAACAGGTCAATAATAATAATAATATTATGGTCAATATATAAATGTAAACCAAAAAATATTCTCTATTAAGTTTTGGATGTATAAAGAACCAGAGTTCCCTGCCTATACTGTATGTCAAGCATTAACTTCAGTTTAAACATTTTGGCCAATTGCTCAAAAGCTAAATCATTAGCTAGCTAACTGGCTAGAGCTACAGTAAGCTAACACGCCTGAGCAGCCCCTATTTAATACAGTGTATGGAGCAGACATACCAATACCTGCTAATTAGTGCTAACAGTGCTGACATAAATAAAATAATACTAGAATTTAACTTACTGAAAAACACAGACTTCTTGGACGGTCTGTTAGTACGATACATCCCAATGGTCCAACACAGTCTCACGGCATTTCGTGTTATAGTCACGAAATTAATCTATTGATTCGTGTTCACCAACACGATTTTGCCATTTTTTTTCATGTCACACAGAACGATTTTAAAAGCAATGTAAATAATAACAAATTAGAAGGAAAAACAGATAAAAAAAAATACAGATTTCAGTTTTCTGACACAGAACGATTTTAGAAGCAATGTATTTATATTGGTAGTATGTTTCGTGCCTGCACCAAATAATAACAAATTAGAAGGAAAAAAAAATAAAAAAAAATACTGATGTCAGTATTCTGAGGCTCTGAGCCACATTTCTTTTCCTCGCGGACGGCAAAAAAACTCAGATATTATACAATTTAAAATAAAAGGGATAGGGTTAGGCTTAGGGTAAGATATTGAGTAATAACATGTTTTTATGAACCACACAGCTTCTGGTCTTCCAAGACCCGACCGGACAAAAAGACGTGGTGCAGGCACGAAACATACTACCAATAGAAATACATTGCTTTTAAAATCGTTCTGTGTGACACGAAAAAAATGCGAAAATCGTGTTGGTGAACACGAATCAATAGATTAAATTAATTTCGTGACTATTACACGAAATGTCGTGAGACTGGGTTGAATGGTCGTAATGTAGGCTCAATAACAACTTGAAAATAGTCTCAGCAACACGCACATGATACGGGCCCCCAGAACAGTATCCGCGGAGGAACAGAATCCTAACAACTGAAACCTTGTTGCTCATCCAGTTGACTCCTGACTCTTTGACGGCGGAGAGGGGATATACAGATATCAGTGCAAAATGGATATGTTTAGTTCACTAAAAGCATGAGCACATTCATGCACAACGCTACCGAGTAAGACTTCTTATCAGCAGCTAATCTCATTAGCTCATTGCTATACCTACATTTTTCTCATAGCAGGAGAAAGAGAGAGGATGGTCTCTTCTCATACTATGGTATACTAGTGGGTCTTGACACACTGGGGAGGGGACACATATTTAGGCTGGGATTTAGTTTTAGTTTTGATTTGTTTGTAGCCTTTATTTAACCAGGTGAAAAATCCCATTGAGATCAACGATCTTTTTTTCAAGGGAGACCTGCAGAATAACTTGCTTAAATTGCTTGATAACTACATTTTTTGGGGCAGTTTTTTTTATAAATTACATACATTTAAATGTTATGATTGCCACATTCTATTAAAAAAGTATTTGGAATGCTTAAAATGTAGCATTGCACTTCCACAAACTTGACACATTGGTAACTGCTGGACAGTAAGACCTCACATTGTGTTTTAAAATGCAGATTTTTTTCCGTATTAATTTTGAGTCTAAGGACTCAAGCCTAAATGAATGTAAGATGTGGACATCATCAGGATTATTTTCTCAGACTTTGCGAAGCCCACTCATAGAGACAAGACATTGAACAAACCAGAGTACAAAATGTTGACAGAACTCATATTTTAATAATTCTTAACAAGTATAGGTATGGATTTACACTCAGTTCATAACTTTGTTTTTTATGCTTTGTATTTTTGTACATATTCTGTGCGTGCAAGGCAAAGATAAACAAGACTATAGAAAATAACTTCTTTCCAAGTATGAGACGCAGGCTCAGGAAACTGAACTGAGGTCTGCTCTTACAAAACACACACCATCCTCCACAGCCACCTGAGAGTTTGATAGAATAAATATACTCCTGTTGCTATCTCACACTATCTCTGATCATATATTGGTCATATCTGGTCTCTTGTGAAATGATAGATATGGTGATTATTACATATGTGTGTGTCTAATGTAATGACCCTAAAATGTCACATATTGATGTGATTCAACAGAAACATGCAGAGCTTTAGTGTCCCATGTGTACATTTCAAGATACTGGCTGATAGTAAAAAATAAATAACACTTAACAAGGCAGGATATATTTTTCCCACATCGATGGCATGATGAGATTGTTAGAAATATTGTAAGGGAAATGGATTTGACATTGTTTTCAATGTGTACAATTATTTGAGAAAATAACCATAAAATTGGGTTTTTTCCATTATTTGTCAATTTTTTTTTTCAAGTTGTTGGTTAACTGGGATGTTTTGGTATATTTTTTGGTTTTTACTGACCGGTATCAGTATGTTGTTACTTCGGCATCATTTTGAAACATGTATTACAATTAAATCACGGTAAAATATGTTCATTTTGTTGTAGTTGCCAGCGATTCTCTCACTAGTTTAGCATACTCAGCCCGGTTGTTGGCCCTGAAAGAACCTCGATTTTTGAGAGCCAGAAAACTGTAACAAGTACCCGCTAGCCGGAACTACGCCTAGTGGAAACACAACCAAAAACGGGCCGGGCACGGCACGGCACGGCACGGCACGCTTAAACCGTGCTCTGCGCTGTAGTGGAAATGCGCCATAAGTGTCTTTGGGCAAGACACCCGACCCCAATTTCCTCAATCAGTGTATGAGTGTGAGTGAATAAGCCTTAGATTACATGATGAGCAGTTTGGCACCCTGTAAGGCAGATCTGCAGTGTATTAACTGACAAAATAATTGTCAGTGTGCACTATTGAGTGGCGCAGGAATGAGTTATAAAGCCCGGAATGAGTTAGCATTTTAGCACTTCATGTTCCCTGGTCTAGAAGTAAAAGTTTTTTGAAGGCTTTTTCAATTAGATGCCTGAAATAAGGTCTGTGGTTAACACAAGCTGAAGAGATTTTCACGTTTTGTTCTACGACATAAAATATGTCAGTGGTTGCTAACATGTGACTAAATGAGACTACTAAACGTCATCACACCAAATGTTAGCCGCCTTTAGCTTAGCTTAAAATCATAAAAGTGGTGTTAATATGTGGAGATGATCCTGCTGAACAAAATGTGTGAGTATCATAAACGTGTGTTTGCCACAGATCTCATTTTTGTAACATTCCAATGGAAAAATCCCACTGCTTGGTGTCGAGGGAGCCATGGTGATGCTAACTTCCCGGTCGGCCCACAAAAAAATCGTCATCACTGCACCACTGTATAGGAGCAAAGAAACTCTCCCAAACAGCTATAGACAAAAACAAAAGCAGAGGATTACGAGGGGAAAAGTAGAGTTCAAAACATCATGCAATACAAAATGTGAGTCATTACATTACCACAAATGCCCAATTTAAAAAAATGTATGCAAATGAGGGCCATATGTATAAATGTGGATGAATTACCAAAATCCAATGGATGGAATATGTCCAACTAGTTCAAGAGCCTTTTTCCTTGAACCCGTTCATCTTCGGGAAAAAAATATCAACAAGGAAAAGTGAAGAGATATACTCTTTTAATTGTAAATTACACCATGTGCCTTTAAATCCCTTATTAAATAAAATGATAACATGTGAAATAAGTGAGTCTTTGACATGATGTGTTAATGAGCCACACTCATAGACGTTCTGTTCAATTAGCCATCCTTGTGTGGAGATCACACAATAAAGATATCTCAACCACACACTCCTGTCAGTTACTCATTCAGCTGATGCTGTCTGTGTCCCATTTCAGACCCAACCTCCTTGGAAGGACTCAGATGACTCTTAAAGGTTTCCTCAGACTGAATGGAAAGTGAGTTTACAGGCGATCAGTTGCCTTCTTAATGCAAACATGCAATGGATGCAGATTTCCCCCTGATGATGCATATTAAAACAGCTGCCCTAATCAACGTAGAGATTTTGCCCTCAGCACAACAGGCCCGGGGCTTGGGAACCACATGGTCACTGGTCCAAGTTATAAAATATACGTGGTTTGGAGATAGTAGCTGGAGATGAGCCAGTTCACCTCCTGGATACTGTTAGGATGTCTTTGAGCAAAGCACCAAACCCCCAACAGCTCCAGGGCGCTGAACTACTGCAGCCCAGCACTCTAACAGCTGTTCATCAATTGCATTCATTTGTGCATGTGTGTATTTCATGGCCTACTGTGTAAAGGTCCTGTTTGTCATTTAGTTTGTCCGCTTTTTATTGTTTTGGGTGTTTGACCACTGGACGGTTTGTGCAGTGTGTGTTTATCCACCTCAAACGGACAGTACAGCAACTGTGCAGACGTTCGCTGTAAGATGGCAACAAAACCTGCACCAACCATGTGCACTAAATTAGAGCCTGTATCCATATAGCGCCTTTTCTGAACACTAGCATCTTTTTCTCAATTGATTCAAATGAGGAGTGAGCCCATGCCATCACATGCGGCAACCATGAGAATAGACCAGGGTCTTTTTTTGATGCTCCAAATGCTTTGAGATGAAAATATAAAAACTTTTCAGAAAAGCGCTGGTGACATCGCTGTAGAAATTCGAGAAGAAGCTTTCAAACATTTCAGCTAGCAAAACAAAGATATACAGCATAGTTTGAGCAGAGCAGGTGAGTGTTGTACTCTCATATTTGGATCTAGTTGTGACAAGCTCAATTATACAATGTGTGAGAGCAAGAATCCTCCAGTTGTTGCTAATGGTGACAAAAATTGGCAAACAAATAAAAAGTAGCCGAAATATTTAATAAAATGAAAAGGGGCGATGCCAGCCTGTCACGCAACAGCAACGTTGTCAAGACGTGGAGACGCTGTGTGGACACAGGGTCTTGGTTCTGAGACTTTCAAAGAGAGCACCCTGACACGGGACACAGCAGCTTTCTACAGGGGGGTACAACATTCATGCTGTTCTCAGACTTGGTATACCCTCCTATATCCTGATCTCAGTGATGTCACAGCCCCCCCCCCCTCTCTTCCCAGGTGCATCTTATGTCCTTTTTTAAGTACGTATTTGTGTTATTCAGACAGAGGGGGCTCAGTTCTTTGGTCTGCTGCCTTCACTGTGTGCTGTTTAGAGAGCTCCTCCTGTGTGCTGTTCCTCCCCTCCTCTGGGGGGGGGGCTGTGCCAGGGCTTTTCTTCTTGAGGGACAAGGGGCTAACTTGCGGGTTTTCTTGGGATTCAGATATAGCTGAGATTGTGCCGGGGGTCTTTTCTTGGGAGGGTGGGGACAGTAGCCGTTTTTCTAGAGTTTGAGGGAAACGGGGGCCTGTGCTGGGGCTCTTCTGCTCAGATGGGGGTGTTACAGAGGGCTTTTGGAGGCCGTGGGTCAGCCTCTCCAGGACGGGTGGGGGTCTGTCGGAGGCTGCAGTTGGACTGAAGAGTCGGGCTGCTGATGCTTCTGTGGAGGAGGGACACGCTGAGCCTGGGGGGGGGGGCTTAGTTTCAGCTCCACAGCCCATCCTGCCTCTCTCTGTCTTCAGCTCCTCTTCATCCTGGGCAGTCTTCCTCTTCTCTTCTTGTTTCCCTGCGTGACCGGCTGCATGGATGAAGAACAGATAGACAGATGTAAGCACTGGAAGAAATGCTGCTCCAAAAAAAAGTACAGCAATAATGAAAACACAGCGTTTTGGTTTGTTATCGTTTTTCACTTATTATAAGAAAGATATCTGCCAATAGAACAAGTGAAAATCTGCTTGGTACGATCTCCTGAAGTAAGATGGGATATTTAGATAAATTACATCCTGTAATTAGCTGGGGAAAAAGGATTTTGAACTATATTGGACCAGGATCAGGAGATGCCAGAAATGCTTTTCCGTTTTCTGGTGATTTTCTAATATCAAGTAAGATCTTTTTTATTTTTAAACAAGACGATAAATCTTTTACAAATACCACACTAGCTTAACAACCTTGTGACATGTTTCATCTGAGCTACAACTCAAAATAAGATGTTTTTAAGAGTCTTTGACTTAAACAGATACTTAGGATGCATTGTTTAAAATCAAGACCCTACAGTATATCTCACTGCATTGTTACTTCTTAAGTTATTATGTCTATCTATTATAAAGACATATTCTGACTAGAGATTAGACAAATATACTTTGCAAGATGTCGGGTTTTTGCAGTGAGAACGTGTTTCAACAGAAAGAAAGAAGCAACATGTCTCTTATATTAAGAGAGATGCAGAGTTCAGTTATGAGCATGAACCCTCCTCTCACCCTCCTGAGCTCTCTGTGCTTCCTCCACACAGGGAGGGTCTTCAGTGCAGGGGGGCAGGTCTCCTCTGGAGCCGCGGAAACGGATAGGAGACCTCTGCAGCACCGCCTTCAGCTCTGAGAGACATGGAGACAGAGTTTAACTTTAATCATGACCGTGTGTACAAAATAACTATAAAAGCCAAGTACACAAGTCAAGTAGTGTATCAGGATTTATGTATAAACAAAAGTAAAGTGAAATGTCAGTTTGTATCAGGGTTCTCCATGAGGGAACAGGTTGATGCTGAATCCTTATCAGCTGTTCTTTTCACAGCTTTAAAGTAGAGAACATTTAACATGTATGTAATATAAAGCTTGAGAGAGCGGCTTCACCCCTGGCCTTTTTAGGAATTGGCTAGAGAATGTTCCAGACAATTGTTATTCACTGCTGAATAAGGCCTTCATCGAAAAGGAGAATTTCAAGAGTCAGACAATTCTATCATGTTCTCGTTTCTGCTGAATCAATAACCTCGCTGTTGTTCCTTTAGTTTTCAAAGCCTCACCTTGCGTCATGGCCAGAGTGTCCTCATGGACCGACACAGCTCTGCGTTTCAGAACGGGCTTCAAGTGTTGCCGTGTCTTAGGAAGACTCTCTGAAAGTATACAAGTGAACAAACAAATCAGCTTTTCTTCAGCTACTAAATGTAAAACCTACTAACATGTGGTAGACCACACACACATATTAACATGGTTTAATATTGTTATAATTGTCTGCTGCTTCACTCCCTAAGACTGTAACAAATGTTGGGAGATAGCAATTTGCAATTTCTACTTTTACATTTTAATTATGTTATACCTGGCACTTTTTTCAATGCTCACCAACTTCATAATGCTGCTACTTTTTGATTATACCTTGTATTGGTAACTTTACTTTTCATCCATACCAATCCACCTCTAATATGGATGAGGATGTGGTTTCAGTGAGGAGTCAGACGTACCGTCGGTCACTGACTGTGCTTTCTCCGAACGCTCCTGTGTGCCGGGCCCCCTCCAGGCAGACGGAGCAGAGGGGAGCAGCTCCTTCCTGGGGGACAGAGCGGAGGCTGCACCCGGGGGCCGCTCCTGGCTGCCGTTCTGGAGAAGAAGATCAGAGGATGAAACTCAGCGAGCCGTGACACAAACAATGTGTATGTGCTGACTGACTGAGCATGGAGGCAGGGAATGCATGTTGCAATATGGAAATCAAAAGTAGCTCAGAAGTCTAAACGACCGTTGTGGAACAAATCCTTACTTCATTAATGGTTCATGGTATAAGTTGTAGTTTGTGCTACTGTTGATTTGTATTGTGTTTTTTGTCTTTCTAATATTCAGTTCACCCTCAATGATATATAATGGGAAGAAATGTATCAAATATACCTCAAATGTGTTCATTTTCTATCTTTCTTTCTTAAGTGTATTCAACAAATATCGTTTTTTTCACTATATTTATTTATTGAATGTAACTTCTTTATGAAAGCAGTGCATGGTTTATTTCCCCCTCCTTCTGGCAACCTCCTCTCATGGTTTTTCTTCTTAGAGCTTTTCAGCAGTTGTCTTTCTTAACGTTGCATTGATCTTTTGTTTTGCTTATGCTGAAGCTTTTCATAATCCAATACATGCTGTCTTCTTTTATTTTTTTTACTTCCTACCCTTCAGAGCATTCTTCAGTGCACCATTTGAACCCATATTTTACAGGTGCTTTTCACAGAAATGTGATGTACCCTGCAGTATTTTCTTCTAATTTCTTTTATCTTCATCATAATAAAGTACATTTTCCTTAGTTTGAAAAAAAAACATATCCTCTCATTCTCTATTGGTTACTGAACTGTCTGCATTTAAAGGTCACCTATTATGCAAAATCCACTTTTTCGTGTCTTTTATACATCAACATGTGTCCCCTCTGTGTAAAGAGACTCTGAAAGTTTCAGGAATAAAGATTCTCTCTCTTTTTGTCCTGATCCATTTATATAAAAACCTGTCTGAAAATGAGCTGATCAGATTTTGGCCACTTTATGATGTCATAAGGTTTTTTATGAAAGCAATAATATTAGGTTTAAATACAAAATAATAGGTTAAACTTAATAGTATTGCTTTCAACTAACCTAATACAATTATGTGTAACCTGTTGACACATTTAATTCAATACATTTAATTAGAGTCAATGTTTAATTCTTTCAGTGTAACAAGTTCATGCTTCAAAGCGTTTCCTCCTGTGTTGTTATCAGTTTAAAGTTATCATAAGAGGTCAATATTAACAAGGCATTGACATGACACTCTTGCCACTGGGTTCCCTCTGAAGTTTCTGACTGACTGCAGTGTTACCTGTGCTGTAGTATCGCTCAGCCGGCCGTCATGGATGTGTCTGAGCTGCACCCTCCCTGCTGAGCTGCTGTGGGGGGGAGCGGAGGAGGGACGGGCTGCCCCCCCGGCAGGAGAGGCCGGGGTGGGAAGGGGAGGCTTGGCTGCCACGGCAGGTTTAGGCGGCAGGGGGCCGCCTGGGCGCTCGTGAACGGTGGGTTTTGGGTGAATAGGGGGGTCCGGTCTGATGGGGTCCAGCGCTCTCATTGGATGTCTGGGGTCAGCTGGAAACAAGGTGCAGAGACAGTGAGTAGAAGACAGTGTGTGAATGATGCAGGGACGATTTTTGTAGGCCGACCCGGAAGTTAGCATTGCATGGGATACCTTAACAAAAAGCAACAAGATTTCCTTTTGATTTAGAAAAAGTGCAGAAATTAAGCTCTGTGGCAATCACACTTTTGATACTTACATGTTTTTTTCAGCAGGATAATCCCCACATATTAACATCACTTTAGAGTAGTTGAATTATTAATGCAATTGAAAGAAGTAAGTTGCTAACGTTAGGCTATAAAGGAACTACATCACTGTTGCACTTCAGGTCAACATCGCTAAGCTAAAGGCGGCTAATGTTTGGCGTGATGACATTTAGTAGTCTCATTTAGTCACTTGTTAGCAACTGCTGTTATTATAATGTTTTAACTCCAGACATACACCAGTGGGGTATTTGCTAATATACAGTATATCAGCCGTAGAACCAAACATGAATATCTCTTCATCCTAAAATGGCGGTGGCTAGCAAGCTGCTAACTGAGAATGCTAAAATCCATCATGCCAAACATTAGCCACCTTTAGCTTAGCACTGATGACATGTTGATATGAAGTCACGTCACCACCTTATATTATCTTTGGATTTTTGGCAATTTAATTTACGCTTCATAAATAATAAAGTAGGCTACTGTTAATATGTTGAGATTATCCTGTCGAACAAAACGTGTACAGTACCAGTCAAAAGTTTGGACACACCTGCTCCATTCGAAGGTTTTTTATTTATTTAATTATTTTCTACCTCTACTGAAGACATCAAAACTATGAAAGAACACATATGGAGTAGGTGATTGTGGAGGCCAGGTCATCTGACGCAGCCCTCCATCACTTTTCTTCTTAGTCCAATAGCCCTTAAATAGCCTGGAGGTGTGTTTAGGGTCATGGTGTGTTGAAAAACAAATGATGGTCCCAGTAAGAGCAAACCAGATAGGATGGCATGGCGCTGCAGAATGCTGTGGTAGCCATGCTGGTTAAGTGTGCCTTGAATTCTGAATAAATCACCAACAGTGACACCAGCAAAGCCCCCCCCACACCATCACACTTCCTTCTCCATGCTTCACCATCACACTTCGTCCTCCATGCTTCACGGTGGGAACCACGCATGCAGAAACCATCCGCTCACCTTCTCTGCGTCTCACAAAGACACGGCGGTTGGAACCAACAATTTCAAATTTGGACTCATCAGACCAAAGTACAGATTTCCACGGTCTAATGTCCAATCCTTGTGTTTCTTGGCCCAAACAATTCTCTTCTTCTTGTTGTTCATCCTCAGGAGTGGATATTTGCAGCAATTGGACCATGGAGGCCTGATTCACGCAGTCTCCTCTGAATAGAGGATGCTGAGATTTGTCTGCAACTTGAGCTCTGTGATCGTTTATGTGGGCTCTAATCTGAGGTGCTTTAATGTGCGGTTTCTGAGGCTGGTAACTCTGATGTCTATATCCTCTGCAGCAGAGGTAACTCTTGGTCTTCCTTTCCCAGGGGGGTCCTCATGAGAGCCAGTTTTCATCATAGCGTTCGATGGTTTTTTGCGACTGCACTTGAGGATAATTCAAAGTTCTTGAAATGTTCCGGATCTTCTGGCCTTCATTTCTTAAAGTGATGATGGACGGTCGTTTCTCTTTACTGAGTTGAGTCATTCTTGCCATAATACACATTCTAAGTAGGGATGCTCCGATCGCCAATTTTGGGGCCGATCGCCAGAATCAGTATCGGCCGATACCGATCACCGATCCGATCGAGTGGGCGGGGCCTATGGGGATCTTCCAAATAAAGTGATGTTTAAAACTCAGTTAATGGGGCTCATTCACTGGCGCTTCCACAAACAACAACCAACATAATTATTACATTCAAATGAAGTACATTATTCAAGTTTATACTAACTCTTAGTGTGTGTTCTGCTCCGCTCCCCGGTCCGTCACAGCGGGTGGAGCTGCAGGATTTCTGCTTCACACACGTTGCATACCGCTATTTTACTGTCCTTTTCGGACACCTTAAAATACTGCCAGACTGGTGAAGCCATTTTGGCGAGCTTGTTTTGCCGTGCACAGAGAAAAGTGTCATGTATTTTACGTCATCATTTTACGTCATGCGATCGGCTCTCGCGATCGGCATTTTTAGAGAGCACCGATCGATCGGCAGAGAGTGAGTATCGGCCGATATCGATCGGCGGCCGATCGATCGGAGCATCCCTAATTACAACAGTAGTCAAATAGGGCTTTCCACTGTGCACTAGCCTAACTCTGCACAACACAACTGATGGTCTCAAACACATTAAGAAGGCAAGTAATTCCACAAATTGACTCTTGACGAGGCTCACGTGTTAATTGAAAACCATTCCAGGGTGACGACCTCATGAAGCTGACTGAAAGAAGCCAGAGTGTGCAAAGCTGTCATCGAGGCAAAAGGGGGGCTACTCTGAAGAATCTAAAAATATAATCATATTCTGGATTTTTTGTTTACTAAATAATTCCATATGTGTTCTTTAGTTTTGATGTCTTCAATATTAATTTACAATGTAGAAAATTATTAAAATAATAAACACCTTAGAATGAGCAGGTGTGTCCAAATATCATAAACAAGTGTTTGCCACAGAGCCTTTTTTCTGCAATATTCCGTAAATCCAATGTTAAATCTCATGCTATTTGTCGAGGGAACCAGGGAGATGCCAACTTCTTATACCTGATGACGTGGACATGGTTCTGGGCTTCATGTATGTGGGAGGAGGTACAGGCTTGTCCAGGATAGCACCTGAGGGACAGAGACAGTAGGTCCCAGTAAGACTGAGGGTCACTTTTAATCCGAGCTGTACATGTATGAATACAACAGGAACACCGGGCTCCACTGAAGCCTTTTAATTAAGTGACACAGCACTAAGTGATCTGCTGCTCTGTTCTCATCAGCAGGAGCTTCACTGAAGGTGCAGCAGCAACATTACTGCTGGCAATATATTACATTCATTAGTTCCCAAATGAAATTCAAATCTACGGTGGTCGACAAGCGCAATTGGCTTCAACGGCCCCAGAATAATCCTATTAGGTGAAGACTTTTTCTTCATCTGCGTGTGTTTTTGTCAGATTAGTGTTTTTTATTTGCATAGTTTTGAAACTGTGGTGCATTTCTCCTTATGGAAGAGTTTTGGGCCTTTGTAACGTGTTTGTAACTGTCTGCCACTGTAGAATCACTTCAAATGTTACACTTTTCAACACGACTTTGCAAGTTAAATACTGAAGATTGTAAAATGATTAGTATTATTTTTTTGTGTTAAAGATTTGAATAGAAATGCACTCTCACCTTCAGAGTTGGCCTTTCTCAGCTCCTCGTCTTTATTCTAGACACATTCAAATACATTATTAAACTACTCAACACAGGATCCAGACATGTATGATGGATAAGCAGTCCTCGTTAAATAAATGTGCCACAAATATATAAAATCCCTCTAAAACACACCACAAATCCTCCCTGACTGGTCTTGGTGTCAGCAGGTGGAGTTTTGGCCACGCCCATTCTGTGGCAGCATCATCTGAAGCCTCTGTTCAAACTAGACGTGCTCTCAGACGAATGTTTCTGAAAGACCATCCATAGACATTTAGAATATAAAAAATGCATTTTGTATGTTTACTGTCAGTGCTGTGGTATTCTTCACCATAATCAATCAAATAATCAATCATTATAAATGTGGACCAAACTGATAAACACATGAAGCCTGCAGAATACTTCATCTGACAGAATCTGATCTAACACTCTTACAGTTGTCTCGCATTCTGGTAACAACTGAAACTGCTGCAGGACTTCTGAGTGTCTCCATCTCTTAAAGGATCAGATGCAGCTGACAGATGCTGGAATTCTTTCCAGATAAGTTCTTGTTACATCTCTTAGCTTTGAACTCTGACAGTCTGATCAAGATTAAGAGTCTGTTCAGGTCCTCAGGATAGACTTTAGGACAGTATCTGTGCTTTTACATGTTGTTGTCCTTTTACTACTAACAAGTAGTACCATACAATAATCTATGCACCTCACTACAGCAGTGCAGGCATAATATTGCTGTAGATAAATTATAATTATTTGTATAACCAAGTCAAAGAGAAGAAATATACATGTACATTTTACAAACCAGTTTCTGGTTTGAAACCGCAGTTATAATTTTTTTTAGATTTGATCAAAAAACTTATAGTGGCATTTTCAGTGTGCTTTGAAAACGGGTCAGTTCAGACTGACCTTACTGTGTGTGTCATCCTTGTCTTCAGGCTCTAACCCTGTCAGCAGGATGAGGCTCTGGCTCTTTCCCTCCCTCAGCGACCTCTTGGTCACCTTGAGTCTCCTCTCTCCAAACGGACTCCCTCCCAACATCTCCTTCATCTGCACCCCGCCCCTCTCCTGCTCCGTGAGAGGGGAGGTGACCACAGGACTGGGGGGGCGACCTGGCAAGAGAGGAACTGCCTCTCCTGTCAGATTGGAAAGCGTGGCAGTGGTGAGGTCGGGGCTTGTGGCGGTGTTGGGGAAAGAGGGAGTGTTGTCACTGGAAGGCATCGTCATGGTTAAAGTCTTGGCAGGCGCCATCGTTCCCTTCGCATCGCCTGCAGGATGCTGGCCCGGGGCAGCGGTTCCTTCTGTGGTGGCGGCATCATTACAAACGTTAGCATCCTCCACTGACCTTGCCCCTCTCCCCTTGTCCCTGTCCCTCTCTTTGGCCTCGCGGAGGGGTCGGATGAGGTCTGCGATAGAGGTCCTTTTGACCTTCACCCCCTCTCCTCCTCCCTCTCCCCCTCCTGCCTTGGGGGCTCGGCCGCCTCGAGCCCTCTTGAAGGCAAAGAAGTCGCCAAACTTTTTCTTGATGTTTTTGGTGGGAAGTGTGGTGGTGGGGGTGACAGAAGAGGGGGGTGCGGGGGGAGTGGAGGATGTAGAGAGGAGGGGTACATCAGTGGATGTAAAGCATGTGTCAGTGGATGGGACAGAGGGAGAGGTGACAGTGGTGCTGGGGGAGAGGGTGATATTGTCAGACGAAGAGGAAAAGGGGGTTGAGGCTGAGGGGGTGGAGCTTGAGTCTGGGGTAGTGGCTGGGGCAGGGATTGACTCCTCCCACCGGCCTTTTCTGCAGCAGAGACAGCAGAAAGAGCAACAGACAAGAAGAGACACTCAGTACTACCACTACTACTACAGGAGTCAGGACACATGCTCAGTTCAGGTGCACAACACAACAAGAAGGGTCATGCAGACGGCCCACAGAGCAAAGACATCCGTCAGACCACACTGTCTGTCTGTTCCACACCATGATCCAGAGTACCATATCTATACGACTCTTGGAAGGATTGCCATTCAATTTGGTTTGGATATTTGGAGTGGTGCAGGAATGAGTTCTTAAGTTCTTGAGTTCTTCCATTTTTGGTTCCCTTGTCTAGAAGTCAACATTTCTTTTGAAACTAAGTTTTGGTTGGATGCCTGAAACAAGATCTCTGGTTAACACAAGCTGGAGAGATTTTGTTCAACAACATAAAATACGTCAGTAATCGTGAATTTCCAAAATGTCTATGTGTCGTAAAAGAGTGGTTGCTAACAAGGGACTAAATAAGACTACTAAATGTCTCACGCTAAACATTAGCTGCCTTTAGCTTAGCGGTTTTGATGCGCCATCATGTATTTTCCTTGTTTAGCCTAACGTTAGCATTTTACTTCTGTCAATAGCATTTATGCTTCAAAGATCATAACATTGGTGTTAATCTGTGAAGATTATCCCGCTGAACAACGGGTAAGTAATATACAATAAGTACATGAAAAACATAAATACCGCACTAATAAATGGCCAAACTTCTGTGTCATAAAAGCGGCAGTTAGCAGTTAGCTAGCAACTGACTAAATGGGGAAAACTAAACGTCATCAAGCCGACATTAGCCGTCTTTAGCTTAGCCATGGTGACGTGAAGTCATGTACTGTAGTTCCTTAATAGCTTAACGTTAGCTTTTCTTCAAAAAATTAAAGTGGTGTTAATATTGTGAGTATATAATGCTGAACAAGACTTGTAAGTATCATAAACGTGTGTTTGACATGGATCTTTTTCTATTCCGAAATCTATGAAAAAAATGTTGGATGCTAACTTCCGGGCTAATATTTTTTAACTACTGTGGTTGCCTTCTGAGATTTCGTCTAGCATTATTGTCAGGTCCAAATCAAGTACTTTTTTTAATCCATCCATGATGAACAGATATGCTTTAATTTCAGCAACTGCTGCAGTGTGTTGGGCTGGAACAGTTTTTAGGCTTCCACTCTTTTTTTCTCCACTCACAGTCCAGATGGGGCTACAGAGCTATGATTCAGCAGTTGTGTGGAGGAACAGCTGTGGTGGACGGCAACTGCTGATGGATGCTTTTGCTTCATGGCTGGTGTCGACGAAGGGTGAAAATGAAAACATATGGACGCCAACAGAGGGCAGTCAGAGATGATTCCATTCAAATGACTTTGCATGTCTTCAACTTTACAAAGACATGTAGTACAATTTGAGTGTAAATTGTGTTTGATGCATAACCCAGGTCAGGTCAACCTGCTTTAGCCAACATGAGGTCACCAACTCCCTTCATGTACAATCACCATCATGTGATTGCAGTCACTAATATATGATGGGTTGTGTGATCCATTCTTCTTTCACTGATGAAGAATGTGAAATATTGTTGGTAGTCCAGGAAAACGCTACTATGGGACCCTTTGAACTGAACATATTTGTCTCACAGCAGGCCAACTACATTTATTTTAATTATTGTTGTATTATTTCAACCCAGTCTCACAGCATTTCGTGTTATAGTCACGACATTTAATCTATTGATTCGTGTTCACCAACACGATTTTCCTCTTTTTTTCGTGTCACACAGAACGATTTTAAAAGCAATGTATTTCTATTGGTAGTATGTTTTGTGCCTGCACCACGTCTTTTTGTCCGGTCGGATCTTGGAAGACCGGAAGCTGTGTGGTTCATAAAAACATGTTCTTACTCAATATCAAGCCACGATTATTGTTTTTATTTTAAATCGTATAATGTCTGACTTTCTTTGCCGTCCGCGAGGAAAATAAATGGGGCTCAGAGCCTCAGAATACTGAAATCTGTATTTTTTAAATCTTTTTTTCCTTCTAATTTGTTATTCTTTTCTAAATAACACACTGTTATTTACTCAACAATAACACACAATTATCCTTATTTTTATTTATTTGTTTAATTCTATAATATCTGGCTTTTTTGCCGTCCGTCAGGAACTGAATTTCAAAATAAAGTCACCGGAAACAGACGTAGGCGATACACACCCACTGAACTGATTACCCAAGATCCTCAGCTATGGTTGAAGCTCGGCGATTGGATGTTTTGGCCGCAATGCACGTTGGGATATGGTGTTAATGCGATATGAAATCCGAAAACTTTTTTTTTTAAAGAAGAAATTAATACTTTATTCCGAGTGTTCTTGCTTTTCTCTTTGAAAGTCATCACATAACGGCATTGTAATACACAGTTCGGCTGCATTAAATATTACAGATCTGCCGTAGTTCTTTATTTATAGAGCCCTGATGAGAAGACTTCTAGACAAACTGGAAGAACTCCCACCGAAACTGAATACGTGACGTGGATCATAAATATATCAGCAATTAAAGAACATCTTTCAATTTCTCTTCACACAATACGTCTCCTTGCAGTATCATACTTAATTCGGCTGACTTTTATATTGATCCAATTGGTAGATACAGTAGGTAGCAGTGCACAGCTAATAGACAGGGACTTGTCGTTTTTAAAGATATTACTGATTTTCTTTGAATTAAAGAATGTAAATACTGAGTTGAAAGAATAGTCAGGGGTTTTGGGGTGATGGGAGACACATCTATGGATTCAGATTTCAATAGCTTACTATTAAATGACGGATATACCTTTCTATCTGTGATGTTTTACAAATCAGATATTAATGTGTAGAAGTAAAACATGTCAAATATTATAGCAATATCCTGTCAAATTATGTGAAAACATGAATAAAACTACACATCTGCAGATGTTATACATACTAAGTGTCCTACGCTAATAATAAAAAGTATAATTTGTTGTGTTAAACACTTTAAACTTGACAGTGTTTTAACCAGCACCACCTAGTGGTTAAAGCACGTTATTTAATTTTTTTGTTGAATATGTTATATTTGATGAAAAAAATATTAAGAGTACTACATTTCATAGGGGGAAAGTAGAAGGTCAATGATAGACATATAGAATATAAAAAAGTCAAGAAGATACTGTAAGTGATCTCTACAATAAAACAGTTTAGTGCCGGATGTACAAAGATATTAATAGGAGGATGTGCAAAACAGAAAAAAACATTATTTAAACATTAAAGAATAATTTAGGTTAAGGTCTTCTTTTAAATAAGAAAAAGCTTTGGGGGTATCTACAGATAAATATTAAGCCTGACAAAGTACTTAACGTCTAATATATTGCTTTCCTGCAATGTTAACTATGTTGAAGCACTTATTTTAACTGATATTATACGTATGAATTATACTCTTATGTATGTAGATAGTATAAGAAATGTGCAGAATATGACAGTTTAATGGTGGAGGTATACACACATATTGATAGATGTCTTGTAATGCACTGTTGAGGAACCTGTGACCCAAGTTTTTCATTCATTGCATAACTACAACAGTTGTGTATATGATATGTCAATAAACCTTAGAAAATCTTGAAATCTTGAAAGGGATGTGCAAAATAGCCATTATATACAGTCTTTAATGAACTATTAGTAGAGAATAACGAGTAATGAATATACTTCATAGGGATCTGCAGATAAATGTTTAGTCTTCTCAAGCAGCAACTATCAAATATCTCTCCTGATTGTTGGCACTTGACAATCACCTTTCCTGAATTTTACTCAGGTGTAACTAAAGTCTGATTTAAGGGTTGTTTATATTTCACATCATTAATCAGAATCTGCAAAGTAACAAAAATAAATGTAGTGGAGTAAAAATACCAGGTTAACCTCTGAATTGTAGTGGAGTAGAATTACAAAGTAATAATGAGCTGTCATGTGGGTATATATTAATGCTGCCCATTATGGACACAAGCAATTTTCACCCATGTATTAATTATATGTTTTAAATTTGATAACACCACTGTGTTTCCTATCCCCTAAACCTCCAGGGATGTACACAGTTTAATACTGGCAACTTCTAATTGTGGGAAAAACGAAAACGTTCCCAGTAGAGACGTGCCATAGAACATGTTGCGAAACACAATAGCCAGCATGTGTAGTTCTAGTCAATTTTATTGAATTTGTCAATGTCGGGGCTGGACCCTTTCGAGTCCAGTTTTGGAGGATTATGGGTAGTGTAGTGTCTTCGGCCATAAACTCTGAAAAAATATTTGTTTCTCCTCGAATCGAAGGGGGAAAACACAAAAGCATTGTACACAATTTAAACCAATCAATGTTGAGTAATTAACAAGGATAAACTGATGTTTTTAGTTGATGAGTACTGCAGATTACTATGCAAACTTCGAGACCGGAAATACTGTTTTCACCCCAAGCTGTTGCATGGCAACGCAATTCTGTTGATAGTTATTTCATATCGCATTAACACCATATCCCAACGTGCATTGCGGCTAAAACATCCAATCACCGAGCTCAACAACCATAGCTGAGGATCTTGGGTTATCAGTTCAGTGGGTGTGTATCATGGATGTATAATAAGAACTGGATACAGCGTGGGAGGCGGGGCCTCATTCATTCCTATGAGAGTTGCTCATTCGCGCATGATGATAAAATGGCCCAACTTTTGAGAGAGCGAAACGTCACAGATTACCCGGCATGCCTGAGAAGTACCCGTATGTGCGCTCATAGCGCATGCGCAACTTTAACCATGCCCCCCAAAATGCTCGTTCACACATCAAGCACGTTAATTTGCGTACACGTAACAGCACCGCACGTTCATGACAGCATGGTAATGGTTTGTTATTATGATAGATTTGATATTAACGAGGCGGCAGTTAGCAGCTAGCGGTTAGCTAGTAATTATGCTAATTTACACATCAATCGTTATGTACTTTTATATTACGCTGTAACAGGATCTAGTGATATCCAAGCAACAGAGCTTCATTTAGCATGAAAGAATTATTGCACTGTATATATATATATATACAGTGCAATAAGCTTCTTAGTGCAATAAGAAGCTACAGGGACGTTAATCTACGTCGGTAATATTAACTTTATTTAATACAACATTTACGGTACAAGATTTAATCATACAGCCCATGTAGTATAATATTTTACAAATGATGAATTACAGCAAACATGTGCAATATATCCATTATTACAGCTCCGTGGGCTGGCAGTAAGGCGATATGGGTCCGTTCTTATTGTGCATCCATGGGTAAAGATAAACGCATGTAGTGCTGAACACGTAACATGAACGTGCCGGGCGGCGCGGTCCCGTGGGTTAGGGAAATAACTTGCAGAATAACGTTATTAGCACATTTTTACAACTTGAGGAACGAATGTTTTTAATAAGGGCTATACAAGTGTTCATACTGGGTAGTTTATTTAGTTTAAAAAAAATTATCCAACGATTTACAGACCACTCTTTCCCCATGTAAGTCAATGGGAAAAAGTGTTTCCGGGCCTGGCAACCAAAAGGAAGTGTAGTACCGCCGTTTGGCCAGCACGAATATTTTCATCTGAGTCCGGCGCACTTCCTGGGGGCTTGGTGTGTATCGCCTACGTCTGTTTCCAGTGACTTTATTTTGAAATTCAGTTCCTGACGGACGGCAAAAAAGCCCGATATTATAGAATTAAACAAATAAATAAAAACAAGGATAATTGTGTGTTATTGTTGAGTAAATAACAGTGTGTTATTTAGAAAAGAAGAACAAATTTGAAGGAAAAAAAGATTTAAAAAATACTGATTTCAGTATTCTGAGGCTCTGAGCCCCATTTCTTTTCCTCACAGACGGCAAAAAAAGTCAGACATTATACGATTTAAAATAAAAACAATAATCGTGGCTTGATATTGAGTAAGAACATGTTTTTATGAACCACACAGCTTCCGGTCTTCCAAGACCCGACCGGACAAAAGACGTGGTGCAGGCACAAAACATACTACCAATAGAAATACATTGCTTTTAAAATCGTTCTGTGTGACGAAAAAAGGGGAAAATCGTGTTGGTGAACACAAATCAATAGATTAAATGTCGTGACTATAACACGAAATGCCGTGAGACTGGGTTGATTATTTAGAGTAGATTTTAGTAGTATCAGGGTAAACTAACTTTCTTGCAAGCAGTGTAAGACAGACTAATGAGAGTAATTACAGAATTGAAATATATTCTTAATATCTGGCTAAAATACAGCTGTCCTAATAATTTTGATTTCAATAAACTGAGATATATCCAGGACAGAATTAGTAAAAAGAATATTAGTTTATGAGTTATGCGGGACACACAAACATTTACCATGCATTTCACACAGACAGCTGCACGGCTGGCTTCACAGCATGTTGATTACACAACAATAAACTATTTTTTTATAGCATTTCCAGGAAAGGTTTGGCCTTTGATTTCATAATGCAAACACTATAATTATAACTCATCAGTCATTACTATTTAAAGTAGCAAGAATGGTTCTATGTCTTCTTGCTCTGACAGTCACTGTTTTTCTGATTGCTGAGCTCCTGAAAACACTTGAGATGGAAAGAGTTGTTTGTTATAATGCAACCGGAAACGAGTGTTGTTTGTGTGTTGTCATTAGCTGCAGCATACTGCATATCGAACTGAGTTTAAAATATGTTTATTGCTCTTTTGTTTTGATATGTTTGAAACAACACAATATTAAACAATCATGTTAAATATTGGTTTAGGTGGATTGCGTCATGGAAACTATCCACGACTGGTTGCTTCATACAGGTGAGTAGAAGAACCCCCGTCTTCTACTCACCTGCGTTTGTGAGATTGAATCGCACTTTCAGGCAATGATTGCCTTCAGTTAAAAACAAAATGTTACGTTGGTTACAATAGGTAGACATTAAAGATTTCCTTCACAGTGTGTGTATGTCCAACTCACAGTGCATAGTCAGGGATGATTTTCTTGGTGAAGAACTCCTCTACTCCTTCATCCACTCGGCCCACTCCCCTCAGTGGGCCTCATTCTCCGGCTCAACCTTTAAAACAGGCTCCTGAAACAAAGAACACAACAGAAAAATGTATACGTCAGAATGTACACCTTGGATTGGGTTCTCAGAATTAATTTACAAGGTTTTTCTTAAAGGTCCCTATTATACTGTTTTTCATCAATATATTATAGGTCTCGGATATATACAAAACATGTCTCTGAAGTGTTTGGCTCCAAACACCAAACAGATCATTGCAGCATCCCATAATCCCCTCTGTTTCAGCCCTGTTTCCAAAGTGCTGATTCTCTGTCTGTTACTTAGATGAAAATAAGGAGCCCTCGCTTCTATAAAAGTTAAAGCGGTGCAAACCTGATATCTCACCTAATATGAGCCTAAAGTAGAGAGATAAGTGCAGCTTAACATTTTACAAAATGTATATTGTGACACTTTTATCCAAAGTGACTTACTATAAGTGCAATACTACTATTTCCATTTAGTCCCAATATTGATATTCTATGTAGTCATACATAATTGATCACCCCGCCTACATTTGAGCTAATTATGTTTCCCATCATTCAGTGCTACTGTAAATAAAAGACATTCTGTTTTTTTTTTTAAATTGAATTTGTCAAGCTGCTGTGGATGAGAGACGTTGTTTTAGTTCAGGATAGTTGTCAAGTGTAAGCAATATTTAACTGGGTCGCCCCCAGGCTGTGGAAACTCACTTTTGTTTACCTTTTATTGTAGAAAATGTCATTCACTGTTTCTACATGTAGCAGAACAAGGGAACAGGTATAACACTATAAATGCTGACTATTTAACATGACGACAGTTATATGAAGTTGTGTAACAGCAGGATGAAGAGTCAAATAGGAAGACAAACCACTTCTTACTTCCAAGAGGGCAAGAACAACAGGTCACCATGAACAGCATGGCAGCCATCTTTACTTTCTTTGTCGACTATGAACTGTAAATATGAGTCAACACAACCTCTAGGTTATAATAATGCACAGGAGTTATAGTATGAGAAGTTTACTGTGCACATATGTGACACTTTAATCTAAATCTAAACCAATACCACAATAAATACAGCCATTTAGAACAAATCAATGTAGCATACACATTTGATTTAGACAATTAATGAAATAACTTCAAATGTATCAGCAACTATTTTAATAATCTATTTATTTGAAATATACAGAACGTCTTCTTAAGCGTAAGTTTTGGACTATAAGCTTGAAAACCAGAAATATGAAGATGTCATCATGGGCACTGGGAATTCTGATAAAAGGTCAAATACTTTGGGACAAAGCTAAAATCATGGAAATATTGGCAATTTGTTTGAATGATACCTGGACTGAGCAGACTTCCACAGAGCAGAGACATGAAGTATGTGTCTGAATGTCAGTCAGACAAAACACCACCTGTAACCGTGGTAACTGAACTCATTAAAGGTTAAAGATTAAAGATTTTCTGACATCGCTCTTTGTCTCTAATGAAGGCCTAAAAAAGGCCCCAAATGTATATACAAACGTTACACATTAAAGAAGGGGACAGCTGTAGCCTCAGGATGCTCACAGAGTGAACCATGCACAAACAACTAAAACTAGAGAATGCAATTCCTGAAGAAATTGCTAGTGGGAATGCTTTATGCAGAAAAGCTGACGCTAAACTGCTATGCTGAAATGTAATGTGTAAGAAGAAAGTGAAGAATTTAGATTGAAATGATACATGAACACTGGGGGGCTTGAATGTGTGATGAGAGAAGAAAAGAAAGTAAAAAGGCTTGGAAAAGCAGCGAAGAATATTTGAAATGCAAACTTTTGAACTAATTTGATGGCGAATGATCTGTCGCCATGCCAACGGCATTTGATGACATCCCATAATACGCTTAGATGCGTTGATGGCTGTGCTACCAAACCTGTGAAGTTTTGGGCCATTTGGAGCATTTTCACTGAAGTTATGAGAAAACCGTGTTTCATGGCGGGCATTGTGTTGCCATGGCAACGGCATGTCCCGTAGATGTCTTCACGGCTGGACTGTTAGCACACATGTGAAGTTTGAGCACTTTTGAACATTTCATAGGAGTTATAGCGACATCATGTTTTATGGCGAGGGATGCGTTTCCATGGAAACGGCATATGGTGAGATCTCAGATTTGGCGTAGAGCTGTTGAGGCATGGACCGGTGATATACAAGTGAAGATTGGGGGACAATTGGGGGACGATTGGACCGTGTCGATTGGACTTACAGCGACATCGTGTTTCATGGCGAGTGGTCTGTCGCCATGGCAACGGCCATGAGAGAGAGAGAGAGAGAGAGAGAGAGAGAGGAGATGAGAGAGAGAGAGAGAGAGAGAGAGAGAGAGAGAGAGAGAGTTTGTGAGAGAGAGAGTGTGTGTGTGTGTGAGTATGAAATGAACAGTTAGAACTAACAGTCAGTTGGAGTGATGACATCATCGTGTTCCATTACACAGGTGTTTATAGTTGAGCTAACGAGCTATGAAAAGATCAAAGGTTTCATTGTTCTGAATGAGAGATGAACCTCTTACATGTGAACGTTTTGTGGAAGAACGATAACAGATATCTGTGAAATTTCAAAACGTGAAGCATGTCAAGGAAGTTGAGTATCTGAAGTGTAATTTTTTGTGTACTTTCGGGTTAATAATGTGGCCTTTTTGGCAGTTTAACTAAAGGTGTGCGGCTGCTGCTGTGAGGAAATATCTGCCTGAAATTACAATGGGCTTTAATGGAGACATGTTGAACGTTTTTGTCACTTCATTGCCCTCAAGAGGCATTTTGTTTAATTATTTTTGCTTAATTATTTGTCATTTTTCAAGCTACGAGATGTTTTCCTACGTTTGTCATGAAAAATTATGTCTCAGGAATGTAGGGTTGGGAATTATGGCAGTTTTAAAAAAAATATGAAGGGACATTTAAAGATTTCCTACCCTCTAGCTGTGACATCACGCACTCTAACTTAACGAGCTGCGCAATGTTAAAGTTCAAATGTTAAAAATGTGATGAATTATGGGATGTATCTCTGGAATTATGAAAGTTATGAATGATAAAAGTAATAGCAGTCGATTCCCGACCGAGCTGAACGTTTTGATGTTTGAACGGAGTTTTCTGCGATGTTGAATGTGGGAGGAGAAGACGGACAAAATAATTGGACGGAATAATACACTTTTTGTCCGTAGCATAACATATAGTTGGAATGCTGTATCAGCATTCCCACTAAACAACAGATGAAACTAGATATTGACGTATACTCAAAATGAAAAATGTCGAAAGACCTCGAAAATAGAAACACTTATACGTGATAGCTATAATACATGAAAGCTCCAAAATCATAACAATGGGACATTCGCCTGTCAGTGAGCGCAGTGCTCATCTGCAGCTCTCTCCAGCTCTCTCCAGCTCTCTCCAGCTCTCTGCAGCTCTCTCCCAGCTCCATCATCCAGTGACAATAATGTGGCTCTCTTTCAATTCTGTGCCTCCTCCTTTACACAGCCACCTGTCTCTGTGTGCTACATGCCAACATGGCACACACACACAACACACACACACACACACACACACACACACACACACACACACACACACACACACACACACACACACACACACACACACACACACACACACACACACACACACACACACACACACACACCACACCATCACACACACACAACACACACACTATATTGTTGAGGGCCGGACCATTAACTGTCATCTGAAGTCTGGTGCAGTTTGGACCATTTTCCATCGAGTTATGACAACACTGTGTTTCATGGCGAGGGATGCGTTGCCATGGAAACGGCATGCGTTGCCATGGAAACGGCATGCGTTGCCCATGTGACTAGCTTGCACATTATTAGGGTCTGAGACCTAGGTCTATTGAAATCGGTCGCGCAGCGACCGATAAACCTTTGACCCCCGCAGCATATGTGAAAACTCACCAAATGTTGCACGCGCGTCAGAAGTGGTGCAACTTCAGATGTGTAATTGGTTCCGGAACTTTGCGTCAAAAATTGCGTAGGCCACGCCCACTTCCGTTTTTAACGTAAACTCCCCCCACTTTAACTTTCACGTAAACGAACGAAACTCGCTACGCATATCTAGGGTGCGGAGACAAACCAAAAAGCCTCTTGGAGGGGTATAAAATAACGTACAGGAAGCCGGCCATTTTGAATTTGGCGTCGTCCTCCGCACGAAATCTATCTTCTCCCAGGGACTTTATCCGTACGACTCGAAATTCGTCGGGTAGCGTCTCGAGACATGGGCAATTCAAAGTTATCACGGAAGTTTTTTTCTTTCGCACGGCGTAGCCGTGATTTGGCGCCAAAGTTCGCGTTCGCTTGATGCTAGGCGATCCCTCGCCATGGAACACGATGATGTCATAACACCAACTGACATACTCAGAACGCCACCAAACTTCACATGATGGTTAACACTGCGGCCCTGAACAGCTCTACGTGAAATTTGATGTTACTTAATATGGCGTTACCATGGCAACGCATCCCTCGCCATAAAACACGGTGTCGCTGTAACTCCAATGGACACGGTCCCATCGTCCCCCAATCTTCACTTGTATCACCGGTCCATGTCTCAACAGCTCTATGTGAAATCTGAGATCTCACTGTATGCCGTTTCCATGGCAACGCATCCCCTCGCCATAAAACAACAATGTTGTCTTAAGTCAATGGAAAATGGTCCAAAACTGCACCACACTTCAGATGATGGCTAATGGTCCGGCCCCTCAACAGCTCTATGCCAATTATGGGATGTCATCATATGCCGTTACCATGGCAACGCATCCTCGCCATAAAACACAATGTTGTCTTAACTCAATGGAAAAGGTTCCAAACGGCACCAGACTTCAGATGACAGTTAATGGTCTGGCCCTCAACAGCTCTACGCCAATTATGGGATGTCATCATATGTCGTTGCCATGGCGACAGATCCCTCGCCATAAAACACAGTGTCGCTGTTACTCCTATGAAAATGGTTCAAACGGCACCATACTTCATATGATGGCTAATGGTCCGGCCCTGAATAGCTCTAAGTCCATTATGGGGTGTCATCATATGCCGTTGCCATGGCGACAGATCACTCGCCATCAAACACAATGTTTGTGTTACTGCTGTAACTCAAAGACATTGTCCGATCGGCCCTGAAACTTCCCACGTTTGCCAACGGCCGAGTCCTCGAGACACCTAGACACACACGTCGACGTGCGGACAACAGCCTGCGGAGCGTCGAAGACCCGCTCAACGCTGCTTGCAGCTTTAATTTACTCTCTTTTTGTCTTTTATTCAACTGTGGAAACAAGGCTTCATCATGTTCCAGCCATTTAACAGGGATTTCTTTACATAACATAAATAGCATGCTGCTAGCCAATTGTCTCTATCCCATTTCTGTCAACATTTGTTTTTGGGCAAGAAATTGCTAAATACATTATTAAAGTCTAGTCAGTAGTGACCCAGAGTCTCTCATTAATCACTGACAAGAAGACTGATCGTACATAATCTGTAGTAATATCCTTATATAAAATCAAATACTATGTGTTAGTGAAAAACAACACCACCTTACATTGACACCTACATACCAAAATGCCGAATGTGTATTTTTCAAAAGGAGAGATCACAAGCACGATAAAATGTACACACACAAGGTCACCATCGATGAAGAGAAATCCTCTTTTTTCTTTTTTTTACACAGTGAAAGCACCAAGACAGGGACCCCCATTAATGTGAAAACATGAATAATTGACTTAGTGAAAGCATTCCCAGGAGAGAGAAGGAGAGAGAGAGAAATCACTGGGAACAACCCAGGGAACACCACTCCCAAATTGCATGTGCCACACACACACACACACACACACACACACACACACACACACACACACACAACACACACACACCACACACACACACACACCACACACACACACACACACACACACACACACACACACTGAAAGAAGATTCAGGGTTCCCAAGAGCAGGCTGAACCGCTATAAAGCACTCATTCATACCTATGTCCATTAAGCTTCTTAACATTCACATGACATGAAATGTAGTCAAATGCAATGAAATGTACTTTTTAAATGTTGGCCATGAGGGTTGTGCAATAGGTCGCCATTGCCAGTATGTGCGTCTGTGTATTGTGTTTGTTCAAACGGTGTATGACTGATGATATGTGTATGTCTCTTAATGTCCACTATGTTTGTATATGTACATGGATGCGAACCTGCAGGACGGAGTCCAGAACAATGACCTTACGGGGACAATAAAGTATATCGTATCGTACACACACACACACACAACACACACACAACACAACACACGCACGCACGCACGCACGCACGCACAAACACATACACCACAACACACCCCTCCGCACAACTACAAGGGAGCCAGAGAATGCAAAGATAAAGATGGCTTCCATTATTACTACAGCATCATAAAAAAGGAAAGCAATACAGCAATAGATAGATAGATAGATAGATATAGATAGATATAGATAGATAGATATAGATAGATAGATATAGATAGATAGATAGATAGGTAGATAGATAGATAGATATAGATAGATATAGATAGATGGATAGATAGATAGATAGATAGATAGATAGATAGATAGATAGATAGATAGATAGATAGATGATAGATAGATAGATGTGTATTTTGCTGCATTGACCTCAGGCTGGTAATAGAAGCATTATTCCCTTCATCCCTCCATTTTCTTATTTGTGTTCGAATGGTATTGTTTTGATTTCCTCCATTTCCATCTCTTCCTCCTCTGGGATCCATCTGTAGTCGTGCAGTTAGCTGCCTACCTCATATACCCTTCCCTCCATCCTTCATCCATCTCTCCTTCCCCTGTCCCTGGTATAACTGAGCATATCTAAGAGTATACATCATATGTTGTATGTATTACTGTTGGTATGTATGCAAATGTCTTCTGCTCCCTGACTCAAATGGTGTGTGTGGTGAGTGGTTGGTGTTTATGGGTATGTGTGTGTTCTTACCTGAGGCCTGGAGGACGGGGGCTGTGTGTGTGTGCGTCGTGGCCGCGGTCGGGAGGCTGTGTAGTGCCTCAGAGTCTGTCCCTGGGTGGGTAGAGGCTCCATTGGGAAGCGGGGGGTCCAGAGCTGAGCAGAGCGCCTGGGCTGGGCTTGCAGCCGGGGAAGGGAGCCTGTCGTCTGGGTAAGGGTCCGCGGCCGGCAGCCTCCTCCTCTGCAGAGCGAGGGGAGATGGAGCGCAGGAGGGGGGGGCTGGGAGGAGGAATGAACGATGCTCCTCTCGCTGCTGCAGCATCCAACGCTGCTGCCGCCTCCCCCTCCCTCCGCCTCCTCCCCCTCATTCCCGGGGGGGAGGGTGACGGGGACGGGGAGGGGCTTGGAGACCTGACTGACATGGGGGTTGCTGTCGACAACAGAGGGAGACCGCACCATCCTCCTCCCCCTTCTTCTCTGGCACCTCCTCCTCTGATCTGCTGCTCCCAGTCTGCATCCAGGAGACCTGAGAGGGGGGGGCACAAGGAGAGGTGATGGAGGGGAAGAAGGGAGGGAAGAAGGGAGGGAAGGATGGGGAATCCAGCCCACTAAATGAACGTATGAATATCTAGGGCAAGATAGGGGAGAAAGGGGGGAATGTGGAAACAAGGGAAATGGGAAAAGGGAGGAGGGGGGTGTCAAGAGACTAATAGGGATAAAGGGGGATGAGAGGAGAGATAAGACGGGGTTACAAATGGGGCAGAGCAAAGAGAAGAGAGAGAAATAAGGAGCAAAGCTTAGCGATGCAGAGATAGAGAGGAAGCAGAGAGGAAGCAGAGAGGAAGCAGAGAGGAAGCAGAAAGTAAGCAGAGAGGAAGCAGAGAGGAAGCAGAGAGGAAGCAGAAAGGAAGCAGAGAGGAAGCAGAGAGGAAGCAGAGAGGAAACAGAAAAATAACGAGAAGGAAGTAGAGAGGAAGAAGATTGGAGCAGAGAGGAAGCAGAGAGGAAGCATAGAGGAAAGAGAAGAGGAAGCAGAAATGAAGCAAATGGGAAACATTGATTAAGCAGAGAGAAAGCAGGAGAGAAAGCAGAGAGGAAACAGATGGGGAAGCAGAGAGGAAGCAGAGAGGAAGCAGAGAGGAAGCAGAGAGGAAGCAGATAGGAAGCAGATAGGAAGCAGAGAGGAAGCAGAGAGGAAGCAGATAGGAAGCAGATAGGAAGCAGAGAGGAAGCGATAGGAAGCAATAGGAAGAAAGCAGCAGATAGGAAGCAGAGAGGAAACAGAGAGGAAGCAGAGAGGAAGAAGATTGGAGCAGAGAGGAAGCAGAGAGGAAGCATAGAGGAAAGAGAGAGGAAGCAGAGAGGAAGCAGATAGGAAGCAGATAGGAAGCAGAGAGGAAGCAGATAGGAAGCAGAGAGGAAGCAGAGAGGAAGCAGAGAGGAGCAAGAGGAAGCAGAAAGGAAGCAGAAAGGAAGCAGAGAGGAAGCAGAGAGGAAGCAGAGAGGAAACAGAGGAAGCAGAGAGGAAGCAGAGAGGAAGCAGAGAGGAAGCAGAGAGGAAGCAGAAAGGAAGCAGAAAGGAAGCAGAGAGGAAGCAGAGAGGAAGCAGAGAGGAAACAGAAAATAAACAGAGAGGAAGTAGAGAGGAAGAAGAGAGGACAAAGAGCAGCAAATGGCTCTGCAGTCACTCTGTACAGGACCACATAGGACCAGGATAGGGTTAGACCTACGTGGTTATCATTCTCTTACAGGGTCTAAATGTTTAAGAGGCTTTTGAAATGCCCATTGATTACTACACTCAATATTCTCTGTAAAGATACTGTATATTGACCTAATTCTTTTTTTATGATTCATTGTAAAGCTATCCTCCAATCAAACAATAGGAGCGGGGGGTGGGCGGTTGTGAAGACCCCCAACGTTTCCTCATCCTCCGCTCCTCCATCTTCTCCCCATCTCATCTCTCCATGGTGAGAGTCACTGGTGTGACAGTAAACAGGCCATGCTCCAATTAGCCAAACAGAGCGGTGTGTCTGACAGAATGGCCCCGCACACAGGAGCAGCACAAAGGAACAACAAGGAAACATGACAGGAGCTTAAGACCTGCGCTCAGACTGGACTGCTGTAGCTAAACAGATGGAAACATTGTTCACGATGTAATACCATCACAGTCATGATATAACACAACTATTGTAATCGTACACACTTTACTACTTTAAAGCCCGATCATCATTCATCCAAAGTGTTAGGTGCTTTAATTGAAAAAAAAAATGTAAGTCCAAAGGTGCAATCTATGAAGCCTCATGGTATAAAGTGGTTTTTAATTTAAGTGACTTTTGACTCCCTGTGGACACCTTTAATATTTGTAGCCCCTCTACTCATAAAGTGAAATGAGATGTTGTTGCACGTTACAACCAACGTTTTGCTTTGAAGGTGTCATGGGAGGAAGAAATGGTTCAAAAATAGTTTCTGCTGTTAGGACTTCTTAGATTGAGTTCACAGGGCCCCTTTTTACCTAAGGGCCCGGTCAAGTTAATCTAAATGAGCAGGTTCAATTCAGATCTGTTGTTACATTGTAAGGAGATCAATGAATATACTAAAAGCTGAATGTATTTATTAACATGGATTACATGACCACGTCTGTGTAATGTCAAAGGTGTTGTTGGCTGCATTCATACCAAATGAGGTGCTGCAAATATTAATTTGAAAGAAAGAATTAAGGAATCATGTCAGTACATTTATTTTAAATAATAAATATTTTAATTTTATTCCTCGGGATTGTGAGAAACAGCATTTCGATCTCCCTGTTTGTGTCACACAAACAGAAGATTGACAATAAAGTTGCATTTTACTTTTTTATTATCTTGTGATTGTTATTATTGTTATCAAAAGAACAAAACAGAAATGACATAAGATAGGTGGGTAAGGGTTGATGCAGGTTAACAAAATATAGAATATTGAAATGGAAAGATAAGCTGTACATGGAGTGGAGACGAAAACCTGTGGTGAGTAATCCATTTTGTTATTACGGTTTGCCATTTAATGTATTTTCAAGAAAAGCAATCACACACATGCAAATGAGTTACACAGAATCAAATTCACAGACATTAAAGGATCCTTTATGTTGGTTGTATCTTACTCTTTATGGAAGCGGCAGGCCTCAGGCTCTTGGAGTGGAAACTGTTCTCCAACACGCTGGACTGTACTGGGGATGGAGAGAGGTAAAAATGGAAAATCAGATATTTAAATGGATGACTGAATTAACGGATAGATGTGTGTGTGTGTGTGTGTGTGTGTGTGTGGTGTGTGTGTGTGTGTGTGTGTGTGGTGTGTGTGTGTGGTGTGTGTGTGGTGTGTGTGTGTGTGTGTGTGTGTGTGTGTGTGTCTCCTACATCATCAGTTGGGAAGTCGCTGTCAATCAGTCGAAGCTCTGGGATGTTCAGTTTCAGAGAGGTGCATGGATTTTCTTTTAAAAGGAAATTCTACACAGCAAACAACGAAAAACATCAAGACTGAGTGCAACTCATAATGACAAATCATAAGTTGAGCATGTCGTCTTAAAATATGCTAATAAGATCAATAATAGAGTAAATATAATAATACCTATTTGTTTTTTAATGAAGGTTACATAATTAAAGGAAACATTCATGTGTGGCATATTATACAGAGTGAAATTAAAAATAAGTGCTTTAATTATTGTTAACTTGCATTGTTGCACTTTTGATGGGGCTAGCAAAGCTAGGCTAACAAAACTTGGACACAGCAGTTATAGCTGCTGCTAATTCCCAATGTGCTATCATATAATAACACACATATACACAACATGTTGGTAGACAAAAAGTACAACTATGTGGTAAAACTCAAACATATATTTACCACTCTGTCCTGTGCCTTTATGAGATCCTGCTGCACCTGCTCCATGATGCTTTCAGCCAGAGAGACACTCAACGTCTGTCTGAGGTCTCTGAATGGAGGACAAGAAAGGACACACACACACACACATTGCATTGCAGCAGAGTTAGCATCGTGTACTATGACTTAGCTGAGTTTTGTCTTGTTGGATAAATGTAAGTGAATATGTTATAATGTTATGTATAATGTTCAATATGTCAGAATGTCTAGTTCATGTTATTACCGCAGTCGTTGCTGATGATCTGCCCTGTGTTCTCCACCAGAGTGCTTCTCAGGAAAGTGGTGTCTGTCTGCTTCTTTTGGACACACACTGACAGACCCTCGCACACACTGGAGCGCTGCACCACCCAAGGACACGCCCCTCCCCGCCCCCCCTCATCAGGCTTCAGCCAGACCCTGGAACACAGAAGGACTGATGACCCCAGCGTCTACTCTGTGTTCTGCATTTTACTATCACACTGTCTCTGACCTTTCTCTCTTTCACTATTAAAACTTTTGCTTGGTAACTTCATTTAGCAGTACCTAAGTGTCTGTCATGTTTGTTGAAAAGAGGCAGACTTGCTTGAGCAGATGTGGTGTGTACTTTTGTTTGAAAGTAAAACTTTGTTGTGTACACGGCAGATGATCTGAACGTAAATTAAGAATGTGTATGTGTACTTCCATAAATAAACCTTAAGTGAGCCTCATACACCATGCTCAATTCATTTTTGCAATTTTAATTGACAAGGCTGTTAGAGGAGAAATCAATTACTATACTAAAATCTAATCTATTTAAAAAAAATAAAAAAGACAGTATTCATGTTCAATGTTACTCAATAATTGTAATATCTGTCCGGTAAAATGGATGAAACAAAACGCAGTGGCTTAGCCAAATAAAAAACAAACCAGTAAAAACGCCACTATGGATGTTCATGTGAAAATAATGACAAGATATAATAGTTAGTTACTGTTTTGTTAACTTCCTGTTGTCTGTCAGACAAATGATGATGCAATGGCCCTAACCCTGATTTGAAGTCTGACTCACAGTAAAGCTAGCCTTGATGAGGTGGAAATCTTGATAAATGAGCAGCCGATACAGTGATGGATGGTTAATGTGTACCTGTATGCTTCTGTTGATCTCATCAGCCAGTGCTGCAGCTGCATCAGTGAGGATGCAGTTCACCAGTCCTCCATCAGGGGCAGCCTTCCTGCCTTCCTCATACAGAGCGGGAAGCAGCTGCCAACAAAACATCAAGCGTCATTTACACTCCCTGGACACAGATTTCTGACACAATCTGTTCAACAGCTCTGCCATATTACAATGGATGTTCAAATGTAACGTTTTAATTCAACTGAGATGAAGGTAACTTCAAACTTGGGTTTGAGAGCAGGGCCACGCCTCAACCACACCTCTAATCCCCTGCTGAGCCATTTATACCGATCAGCACATGGAGGCTCCAATTTCACTCTTTTCCTGCCATCCATCCAATCCCCATCCCTTTATCTTCACTTACATTGTTTCATCCCTACATCCCTTTATTCCTCCCTCCCTCCATCCCTTCATCTTTCCCTCCCTCCCTCCCTCCCTCCCTCCCTCCCTTCATCCCTTCATCTTTCCCTCCCTCCATCCCTTCATCTTTCCCTCCCTTCATCCCTTCATCTTTCCCTCCCTTCATCCCTTCATCTTTCCCTCCCTCCATCCCTTCATCTTTCCCTCCCTCCATCCCTTCATCTTTCCCTCCCTCCCTCCCTCCCTTCATCCCTTCATCTTTCCCTCCCTTCATCCCTTCATCTTTCCCTCCTTTCATCCCTTCATCTTTCCCTCCCTCCATCCCTTCATCTTTCCCTCCCTCCATCCCTTCATCTTTCCCTCCCTCCCTCCCTCCCTTCATCCCTTCATCTTTCCCTCCCTTCATTCCTTCATCTTTCCCTCCCTTCATCCCTTCATCTTTCCCTCCCTCCATCCCTTCATCTTTCCCTCCCTCCATCCTCCCTTCATCTTTCCCTCCCTTCATCCCTCCCCCTTCATCCCTTCATCTTTCCCTCCCTCCCTCCCTTCCTCCCTCCATCCCTCCCTTCTTACATCCCTTCGGCCCTTATTCCTTTCCTTCCCACTTCCCTTCAACCATTTATCTCACCCTAGATGTCTTCATCCACTCATCCCTTTATTTCTTCATCCCTCCCTCCCTCAATCCCTTGTTTGCTTTATACCTCCTTCTACAAACATCCCTCCATCCCTTCCTCCTTGCATCCCTTTTTCCTCCCTTCTTACATCCCTCGACCCTCATCCCTTCGTCGCTCCCTTCCTTCAACCTCTGTTCCTGTCTCCCCTTGTCTCTTTCTATCTCATCTGGTGCATAGTTTCTCATCCAAGGTACCGTCTGGGGGCTTGTATTGAGACTCCCCACACTGAGTCTCCCTCTGCCTGGACTTCAAACCGTCCTGACAGACGACATCACTCACTCTTCTTCACACCCCTTACATTCAATATTTCCTGTTGTTAAATCTTCAGTGGACCTATTACGCTGCATGGTCCTTGCTAGTGAAATGTAGTTAGTGGTGTGGTTGAACAGGACTGCAGTATGTTGAGATGATTTCTCTAGTATTCTCAGATGTGTGTAACAGATGTGTAATACAGTCCCAGCAGGATCTGGCAGAGCCCGCTGGTGACATCATTCCTATTTCTGTTTCTCTGCCAGTACCTTGAAGGACTCCCTGGCGTTGTGCAGAACCTCCTGTGCTGTGAGGACTTCAGCCTGGACCTCCTGAGGGTTGCAGGGGTTTAAACGCTGAAGGCTGTCCTCTAACTGCAGACCAGACCCTGGACCTGCTGGAAGAGAGGACAAACAGAAGGAAGAAGCAGGAACTGTGTTTGATCTAACCATTAGATGTGCTTCAGTCACAGAGCTCCATCTTTCGTATGATTTGATCCGTTTTATTGATCACTTAATGCGAAAAATATATATATTCTCTGCAGTGATGATTGCTATTTGATTTCTTTATTATACTAATAGTTGACTGTATGTGGTACTATAGTTGTTAACTGACTTCCAACTAATATGATTCTTTTTTATTGTACTCCTTACCATCTCAGATTGCTGAGCTTTAAACACTTGCTGGATTTCCACTCTGTCAGATTGTCTCTGGTTTTTCTGTCTAAACAACTCTGAATCTGCACACACAAAAAAAACAGAACAGTACATGAATCATCTTTGTAAATACTCTTCAGATTAGATCATGACAAAGTGTTGTCAGATTACTTGCACTGGCATGTAGTTATATTGTCACACACACACACACACACACACACACACACCCACACACACACACACACACACACACACACACACACACACACACACACACACACACACACACACACAACACACACACACACTGACCTTGTGCAGGGCCTCTTCTGTTCTGTCGGGTTGCCGCGGTAACTCTGTGTGATATCAGCCAGGCCAGACACCTGCTGCAGATGAAGTTTCCTGTAACAACGAAGCATAACTTTAAAAGTCATAACTACCGTATCAAGATGGCGGTCATCCACCATGCTTTCTGTCCAAAACAGTACACTTCCCAATAGTCATGATAATGGCAAGGCACAATGGATGGCAACATCCTTTTTCTTACATGGAATGTACACACGTTCATGTCCCCCTCAGAATGAATTATAACTAGCGATCCCATGTCGCACCATGATCAGGTCAGTATTTAACCTTATGACCAAATACCTGCAGTACAAGCTCACCCAATATAGTAAATATTATACCTGTCAATCATTAGCTTATAAGCTTTGCCACAAAAGACAGTGTTG